AAAAGGAATAAATATCTCAGTGGATAACACTAAACCTCAAACTGGTCACTGTTTGGCTTTTTTAGCCTGAGATCATATTACGGATGGAAGCTGAGGATTTAATTATAAATGGGCCCACACTGATAATGTCTTCAAGTGCCTTAATTAACCATATACAAAGCTTTAAACAAACACAAACCATCATGAACTTCATACGATCTGAAGAGAAACCAGAGTATACCATCATGAACTTCAAAGAACTCCCGGTAATAATGTTCTCAGAAATACACTTCAAATCTAAAATCATGTGACAAGAAATAAGGCACAGTGAGGAGAGCCAGAAGAAATAATGACAATGAAACATTAAAGAAACAACGAAGTTTTATTGACATGATAAACCAAGAATATGGTGCCTATGATAAACAGAATTCTTTAAAAATGCATAATTCATCAAACTCTAGGAAAGCAAATGTGTGAATGACACAATGTTACAAAAGTAAGATTGATTCAAAAATTAAATCTCAAGGGCTTACCATATATTAAGCACGAGGGAAAGGACCCATGCTGAATCCAATATTGGTTCTGCACAATGACAGCTCAGGTTTACCTAATTATAGACAACTGATCAACTCTATCGATAAGATGTAGATAAAGGTCTGTGCATGGTCAAAGGCATCAAATGAGAGAAGAAACAAAAAAAATTGACATAGGATTTCTTGGATTTTACAGAGAAAGCAGAAGGACCAGCATAGATAACAGTGAAAAGGCAGCCAGGTGTTGTGGGGCACATGTGCAATCCCAGCACTCGGAGATGGAGGCAGGAAGACTGTTGCAATTTCAAGACCAGCCTGAGCTACACAGTGAGCCCACAGCCAGCTTCATAGTGACACCCTGTCTCAAAAAGACAAAAAAAAAACCAAAAAACAAAAAAACAAAGCAATCAAAAGAAAGGAAGGAAGGAAGGAAAGAAAGAAGGAAGGAAAGAAGGAAGGAAGGACGGAAGGAAGGAAGGAAGGAAGGAAGGAAGGAAGGAAGGAAGGAAGGAAGGAAGGAAGGAAGGAAGGAAGGAAGAGAAAAAGTGAAAAGGCAGAAGGCAATCCAGATCTTTGAGGCATGAGCAGGTGAAGTAGAATATCTGAATGAAATTAGTGGAGATCATTTCTAAAAGGTTATTTGAGGCCAGTTCACAAAGAGCTTTTTCTGCCAATAACCACAAAATGACCAATGGACTTTTAACTCTTAAAAACCCAGCATGTTAAAAAAAAATAACAGCTAGAAGTGAATCTTTAATTAATAACCTTTTCAAGGAACTCTTGACTCTAACTAGAGAATAAGGCAATAAAGCAGCTGTGATTTAAGTAAGGATGTAAAAGAAAAAATTATATTGTAAGTCTGAGACTGTATAAAATATAAAGTATAATGATGACTAGAGGCAGGAAGCAAAAGGCCACCTAAATAAGGAGGACATGAAGGAAAGATAATAAATGCAGAGTACACAGTAGAGGGCACACACCTCTTCCCGAGGATTTACCAAAGTAAAGAGAAATATTGTCCGTGACTCCTGAGTGCAAAAGATCTGAGCAGGTGTGGTAGGATTGTTTAACAGTAACATAGGCTTTACATCTATCAGAAAGGAGTGCTGGGAAGGAAGTAGGAGCGAGAAATATTGCAGCGCACTAGGAAATAAGTTACTCCTCAGAATATTTTTTAAAAATTGAAATAACTGCAGACGTTTGCAAGCTAGTGTGTGACTGAGGTCATGTGAATAGTGTAAGTAACTGACACCTTATGTTTGCAGTTTTCTGCTCTTTGCTGAAGGTCTGATTTCTGAATCCCAAAGATTGTGATATTGTTATGGGAGGCTGGGTTTTCACTGCTGACTGCTCAGTCTCTTTCTTTTCTATTTTATGAGACAGGCAAGCATTTTGATTTCACACCCACGCACAAGCACACACACACGTGCACACACATCATCCTCTGCTATTCTTGGGTACCACTGCTATGGAACCAGGCCATAATGACAACTAGAGCGCCCTGTGACTGATAAACAGTGTCTAATGACTTTGCCTCTCAGGAAATGGAGGATAACAGAATGCAAGTGCCTGTTAAACACAATGCAGGCACCTTTGTGGTGGCAAGATGCCCAGTTCCTCAGAGATCAGAAGACATTAATTCTCGGGGAGCAAGAGAAGGAGGGCATCTGTTTTGCAAGCCTGGCTGATTTTTCTCACTCCATACAAAGGCCTGGCTCTGAAATGGGTATTTCTGAACCTTCAGGAATGCCATTAGAGGATGGTGAATATGCATCAGTGGGCAAAACTGCAATTGTCCTTTTTTAAAGATGGTACCAAAAGAAGGAAACAAACATACACAAAGTCACTTAGACGTGCAGATATGTTGTCTGTTCATCTCTAAAGGATCCAAAGATTTCCAACTCAAGAATTCTGGCCAAGGGCCTCTCTTTCCCTGCCATGTAGTTTGAAAATAAAATGATTGTCATTGTTTAATTTAATTTTGGAAATATCTTAACCAGTGACATCTACAGTCTTGCTGTTCTGTGAGGCCATCCTGCACCTCTGTGCGAGGGTATAAGGCTCCCGCCTCCCTGTCTGTGGTCTTAGGAGTCAGCACCTATGAGCTGACTTTCCTACTGTCAGTGACCCACCTGCCTCCTTGAACAGCTGGGTGTGCTTCATACTTTGACAATATGAAACAAATAAATGCAAAACAAAGCCATGGGTACTGTGGTGCCAGGTAGAGGCACACCTGAATTCCTTTCATTTGTTTATCCTTGCATCATAGCTCCAAATGCTGATGAATTCAGCCTTCACTCAACGAGTGTGTGCAGAGCACAGGCAGGCCAGCCGCAATCCTGGGCGGACCATTTGCAACAAGAATTTGCCAGTTTACATAGCACAGTGTCTTCCCTAAAGAACCCTATGAGACAGCAGAGAGGAAACACAACCAAGGGATGGACTTTGACTATTTGGTTAGTCCACTGGTATATTCCCAAAAGTTATGGTAATATCTAGTACAAGAGAGTGACTGAAGGAAAGAAGGAACAGAGTCTGAGAGGCTACAGCGAACTGGTCACCACTGCTGCACCCGCAGAAGGTCCCCTCTCCTGCTGCACTGGACTTGCTACCTCGTGTGCCTGCACCCTGATCTTTTCACCTGGCTCCACGTCCCTGTACCCCAGGTGTGTAGATGCTTCCCTGTATGCTTCCCAGCTCAGCAGGGATGCTCACCCGCGAGGGCACTACCATGAGACACAGATTATCAAGGGAAGCCGGGATCCCAGGAAGGAAAGCTCAGCTTGAGAAGCAGCAGCAGGTGTGGCTGTGACCATCCCCTTCTCTGCCTGGAGCTCTGCTGTGGTTTGAGTGTCTTCATGGATGGATCATCACTGTGCAGTATAGAAGGGAGCGATTTCCCCCTTCTCCCTGGGTTCCTGCCAGCTCCTAAAACAGGAATGAGTGCGAGAAAGTGTCTGCTCTTCTCTACAGCCGCCTTGCTTATTTTTTTCCTTAAAAAGAAACCACAACTTCTCTAGCTGAAGTGATTTGGAAAAGAAATGAGAACTCGGCCTGCTGCTTGGAGTCAGCCTGCACCCAGGGAGTCTGTTCCCTCCGGTCCACAGGTTCCCCGAGAGGCAGGCTTGGCTCCCACAGGGTCGTCTGCAGTCATCTGTACCTGAAACCATCCGTGCTGGTAACGCTCCATAGAACCCCAGGAAGATTACTGCAGATTCCTTTGTCTTGTTTTCAGGAATCACTTCATCCAGCTGGGCCTTCCACCATCACCATCCTGACCAATCAGCAGTTGTAGACACAGAGATAAGACCCTCACCAGCAAAAGTAGCTCAGCTTGATGAAGGCTCAGGTGACCACTAGAGTTTATTAACAGTGAAGGATTTTACATGAAAGTGAGTGAATCTTTGGATTTAATGCTTTTACACATTGATAGTACAGTATGACTCTGACTGTTATATGCACTGGGGAATAAAAAAAATTTTTTGCCTTACTGGGATGCTCACTTTATTGCACTGATCTGGAAGTAAACCTACATGATCTCCAAGCTATGGCTGCATAATTAGTTAGCTTCCTTAGTATCCCGTTCCTGAAGGAAAGGAAAGTGATATTAACATGGTACTTACCTTACACAAATTGCCATAACATTAAGCAGTGCATGCTTTACACCAATATCCACATTGGTGCATACCTGTGGAAACTGAGAAACACAAGGTTTCCCTGCCTATGGCTATGTAACAGATCTAGGTGAATAAAGAATTTATGTTTATGTCATCACCACACGCTTCTGTATCCCATTTTCCTAAGGGGCTAAAAACATCATTTGGTGTATCCAGAGGTCAGGAAGCCAGGAAAGGCAAAGAATGCTATGCAAGAATTATATATGATTTGAATTTGTAGGCAAGGAATTCTGTGTAAAGAGGTGATCTCATCAAGCAGAATAGATCACGGTAGTATTCATCAGATTTTATAAAATATAAAGGGCAATTAATTGTACTAGAAGAATAGTAATACATAGCAAAGTGTATATAAAATTATAAATCATGACCACATGTATTTAAAAGGTCTTATAAAGGATTCTGTATTTGGGGCGCTACTTTTGAGCCTGCTTTGAATTCCCAGAAGAACTTGCTCCACAGAGCGACAAAAGTAAGCTACTGCTGAATAGCTCAAGAGAAATGCAAATAGACATCCACAGAAATATCAGGGTTCTTGGATCAGGTAGACATCCCCACAAGCGTGACTTCAAGCCACATGTGAGTAAAGTTATCAAGTGAAGAGTCACCCATGGTCTGCCTCACTCCATGTTACCTAAGAAAAACTGGGGAGAAATTTAAGAAAGAATAAGATCAAATTATCAACGAAGCTTGCAATAAAAACAATCCTGGCTGCCTATGGTTAGGAACTGCCTTGGCACTACAAGGTTCCTATTATTTTTTGTTTCCTTTAAACACCTCCAAAGAAGGATGTCAGGTTCATTTTCTCACTTACCCCACTGTCGGCCTGGCTTCCAGAAGGTATTCTCCAGGGCAAGACTGTAGAGTTCAGAGTTCATTCCATACAAGACCTAGGGGGTTATCGGGGAGTTGTGGCTAGGTTATTGGCTATTTATTTCTTGTCCTTCTTGACTCCTAAAAATGGTGAGGTCCACATCAAGTTGTAACATGGTAAAATAGAAAATCTCTAAAATTTATCAATATGTATTTTTCTTATAAAAAAGAGACACTGTCTAGAAATCTCCTAAAGTATTTTTCTTAAAATTACTGTGAAATTAGGGCCAGGGATCGAACTCAGTGGCACAGTGCCTACCTGGCAAGGGTGAGGTCGTGAGTTTGATTCCTGGTACAAAAAAATATTATAAAGTTGCATTACACAAAACCTTTACCATCTAATTTTCTAAAATTAAAAAACAACTTGTATTCTGGCATTTATATATCCTCTTTATCATATTGATCTTCCAGAATAAGTATGTCAATAAATACAATATCATGTTAACCATAACACATGAAATAATTTCAAGTGATAGCAGATGAAATTTAACTTTTTTTTACCCACAACTGTAACCTCCAGCAACATTTAATTTTGACTATTCTCAAATGTACTAAAGTCACTTAAATCTATGTAACTATGGGGGTGATCTGTGTGCATTTTACCACTGTTGGAATCTGTGGAATCAGATACTATTTCGCTATGTACAGGCAGCAACTTAATCACAAAATATAATACTTTCTATACACATATAAATGCATTATCAGCACTAAATTGAATGCATTGGTTAACTATTACTATGAAAATATTTTGTAGTCAAGTTTCTTCTAAAATAATAGGTCATAATAAGCAAAAAGCATTTAGGAAGTACGATGGAAAACACAGTAAATATTTAGATTTTCAAAATTGAACACACTGCCACGAATCACCCTCCAAAATTTTCCCCTCACTTCAATCACACTTATCCCATCATCCTTGCTGTTTTCTGCAGCAACTCTGGAAGTCCCCTCCCCTGAATGTCTTCAGTTGCACTGTGCTGGCTGCCTTGGGGTCCTGAATGGATCACAGTATCCCCTCTCACAGTCATTCTGATGTTGGGGAAGAGCTGGTAGTTGCATCGAAGGAGGCTGGAAGACACAACCCCACATTCCAGTGAGGCTGTCTTTCTGCCGGAAGGCACTCACTTGGCAAAGACCCTCATGAAAGAGGACTTCCAGATGTGTCTTGCAGGAAACAGCTTGTCACCTTCACATCCAGCATGTGTAGAGAGTAGTGTGGTCATCCCTTGCATTAGTGGGTGAGCTCTGTGTGCTGGCTGAAGGTCAGGCTGGGTCTCTGCGACCTGGTCATGGTGGGCGGCTCTGCTGGTGTTTGCTGGCCCCTGCATATGTCTAGAAGTCACTGGATTCACTAATAGAACCCGGGCTCACAGCACCCATACCAGTAGCATGTAGTTTTTCTTCCTCTGTGCTTTTGCCATCTTACTTGGGTCCCCAGGCTGGGCAGGGCAATGCTGCTCCAGAGAAGGAACAAACACAGAAGGAGGAACACATGAGGCAAGACCCAAGCTCAACCAGAATAAAACACTTAAGAGCTCAAATAAAATAGGACTTCCCTCAGAAGCCCAGTTTAGACACTGTTAATTATTTGTTAGCCTGGTAAACAGAAGAGCTTTAATAAAGATGCAGATATCTCCACTTTCAAGCAGAGAGTGAGATCAAAGGGTTCTATGATTCTGGCCCCATTCATTCTGAGCCCGTGCCACTGAGGATCTGGGGTAAGTTTTCATTTACTTTTCTGTTTCCTCAGATTCCATCAATAGAAATAACAAAATAAAATCAGGTTATTGTAAGTATGAAACGTAAGAAAAATATGTAGTGTTTGGCACAGAATTTGGCACACAAATGTTCCAAAGATCCCTTTACTATTTTGTCTAAATCCTGGGGGAAACCTGGCAGACGTCTAAGGAGAGAGTAGTAATAGCACATGACATTTGCTGGAGCTTGGTAGGTGCCGTATGAGATGCTCAGCACTTTGTAAAGATTATCTCAGTAAATCTTCAAAATAGCCTCAGGGGAACTCTGTGGATTGAATGTTACAGATGTTTCTTAGAGAGTTTCCCTCCCTGGCCCACTGGCCAACAGCCAGCCTTCCACTGCACACCATCAGCTCGCTATGGGTCACCAAAACACGCCATGCCACTTCATCTTCAAAACTGAAGTGACACTGGTCAGCAAAAAGAGTGACCAAGATGGTAAGAAACTATTTGCAGATAGGCATTTAGTTTGTCAGTTACATGTTCATTCAACAAGTTGCTCAGTGTGGGGGATAGAGGGGGTAAGAAATTTTCCTGTAAGGAATTAACCCATGAAATTAGGGACACTGGCGAGTCCAAATCTGCAAGGTGGACTGGCAGGCTCTCAACTAAAGGCAGTCAATAGTGCAGTTCAAGCTGAAGGCCACCAGGAGTAGGTCCAGGCCAGCCAGGACTGTAAGAGTACATCTTTCTGGTCTACTAACGCCAGAAAGTAAGTAAGGAGGAAAGGCCCATTCTTGATCACAGTTTCAGAGGCTTTAGCCCATGGTCTGCTGGCTCATTGTTTCTGAGTCTGTAGTGAGGTAAGACATTGTGGTAGGAAGGTCTGGCAAAGGAAAGCTGCTCACCTCATAGTGGCCAGAAACAAAGAAGAAAGAGATAGAAGAATGGACCCAACAAGACGCATTCTTCCGAAATATCGCACAAAGACCCACTACCTTCAATAGGCCCCACCTGTTAAATTGGTGTCACTCCTCAGTAGTCCAAAAAATTATATACCAATCAATGGATTAACTCATTGATTAAAGCAGATCCATGATGACTCAATTACCTTCCCAAACCCCACCTCTGCTGCACTGGTGACCAACCTTTAGGCACATGAACCATTGGGGAACATTCTACACCCAAAATCCAGACTCTATACAGCAAGTAGTAAATGACATGTGAGCTGGATCCCAAAGAATGGCGACTGGGCCTGGGAGGCAGTGGTCTCAATTACTTGAGAGGTGTTCATGAGATCCGCAGAAACAGTAGAATGAGCAGACCATGGACTACAACCTCTGAAACCTGAGTGAAACTTGCTGTTTCCCCCTTAAAGTTGATGTCCTCAGGTATTTTGGCACAGTAATGGAGAGCTGACTGACACAGAATCCAAGCAAACTGCCTAAGTTTGAAGCTCAGCTTTACCTTACTAGCTTTAGGAATCTGTGCCTCAGTTTCCATGTTTATAAAAATGAGGATAAAAGAAAGGATATCATCCACTACTGCATAGTGAATGCCTTCTCTGTTCCAGGAGCTAGTCTAGGAGACTCAGAAGACAACAGACCAAAAGTTGTTGAGCACAGGGAAATTATATTCTAAAGAGAAAAGGTGGGTGACAAGCAAGGCAGATAAGCCCCTCCCTGCACAACTACATATGTCTGGGGTCAATATCTGTGCCCGTAGGGGATTAAAGCCCCAGACTAATGCCTTTAAATCCTATCTGATCCAACTCAACTTTACTTACACAAATATGCATTGTGGTATTGCCTTCCTCCCCTTGTCAGGGACAGCCACAGTGGTCATCTCAGCTAAGCCTAGTTCAAAAGTTCAAAACTTCCCCTCTCCTTCTCAGAGAAGAACAGGATCAATGGATGTGCCAAGAGGTGTGGAGGAGGAAGCAAAGGGACTGAAGATCAAGAAATCACACACCTACGCCAGTTTCCCAAAACACAACTATTATATGCAAACATCCACTGATTTAAAAAAAGAACTTCTGAAGGAGAAGTGGAATATTATTAATTGGAAGAAGGCACTGTCAACATTGCTAGTAACATCCCTCCACTATGCCCAAATTGTAGGAAAACAAGAGAAACCAAACCTGTCCTTGTGGCACTCAACCTCCACTGAGCTGTCTTCTTGGATTTCTCTCAATTGTGCTTGCTTCCCCCTCAGTGAAGACGCCTGACAAACCTGTGAACTTCTGACTCCAAGATCCTCCTGTCCCCCTCCTCACAGATCTTCACAACCAAGAACTAAGTCACTCTCCACAACACCATGCAGACACAGCACAGATCACCAGCTCGGCCCAGGCAGATCCCTAATCTGGTAAAATTACTGTAAGCCATTTTATGTTTTTAATCTCTCTATTGACCCTATCTTCCTGTGATAGAAATAAAACAAAGGAATAAATAAGCAAATATAAAATATAAAAGCAGAAGGTGATACATGTTCCAAACCAAAGGCAATGAAGAAAATTATAAAATGAGACAGTGAATGGGAATATGAAAATATCATGTTTGATTTTAAAGGTGAAGAATACCTCTCTGAGTATTTGTGAGGTGACCAACAGCCACCAAGGAAACATTCAAGTGAAGAAAGAGACAAGGCATACTCTGCGCACTCATTTAGAACATGTGTGCAGCTCCCAGAGCTACTACAGTGTGAAAGAATGAGATATACAGAATTGATGCCCTGGAGGAAATAAGACTGAGGAGTAAATTTTGGGACACAATCCCTTAAGCAGGATGAGCAAGGAACAGAGAAGGAAGAATATCAGTATAATGTCATATTAATAAACCCAAGGAAAATGATTCAAATGGTCTCAGCAGTCTCAATCATTTATATTACACTGTGATCCCTAAAAATAGTAAATGAACAAAATGCATTTATTTTGGTAACTAAAAGAACTGGGTAGGATAAAATAGACAGAAGTATAGTTGAAGATGAGAAATATAACCAAATACATGCCTAAGGAAAGAAAGAGACCATCAAGAGTAATTTGAAGCTGGGCATGGTGACAAATGCCTATATTTCCAGCACTCCGGGAAGCCAAGGCAGGAGAATCACACATTCAAAACTAGCTTAAGCAACTTAGAAAATTAGCAAACTCTGTTGGAGACCACTAGGATGTGGCTCTGCGCACGATTTAAAATTAACTCATTGGCTTTCTATGTTTATCTGTGAGTCTGTCCTAGGCCTCAGCCCCTTGCCTGGTGATGGGTGCTGATTCATAGTAAGTGAACCTCTATGAATCACTGGTCCTGGCTGAGGCCTGTAGTGGC